TATGGAAATTTTTTTTAAAATCAACGAACAAAATCAATCGAAAGCTGATTGTAAGCTGTGTCCATCACAAAAAACACAAATAACTCGGGGAAAAAATGCAAAATTATATTCTACAAAACCATTATGGAATCATATGAAACATTTACATTCAAAAGAGTATAAAAGCATAGTCATTCAAGATAAAGATCGAGACGATGGAGCTTCTGACGAATCTGACGCTGAAAATAAAGATAGAATTTCTTCGACATCAAAAGAAGATTTGCAGCTAACTATGCAACAAAGTTTAGAGCGAACTAAACTATGGGATATCAACGATGCCAAATCAAAAGAAATATCTACAAAAATTTGTACGCATAACAAAATTTGTTATATAAATAATGATAAATTATAATAATTTGTTAAAAAGTATAAATTTTTATTTTTCTCTTAATTTTCTAGGTGAAATGATAGCTCTAGATGCAGAGCCTTTTAATATTGTCGAAAGAAATGGATTTATTCGTCTAATGAATCATTTATGTCCACGATATAAAATTCCAAGTAGAAAATACTTTTCGGATACAATGATGCCTAATATTTATGAGAACATAAAAGAAAAAGTGAAAGATAAATTAAAGGATTCAGCTTATATTTCTTTTACAACAGATATTTGGACTTCGTCAGTTAATAATGAATCGTTCATTAGTTTAACTGCTCATTTCATATCTCTAAAGAATATAGAACAAGAAATACATGCGATCAGCGTAAAACATTTTTCCCAAGGTCATACAGGATGTAATATTGCTGACATATTGAATAACATTTTACAAGAATGGAACATAGAAAAAGAAAAAGTTCACGTAATTGTTCGAGATAACGCTGCAAACATGACTTTAGCTTTAAGTATGATTAATAATTATAATATTTTATTGGAATTTTTCGTTCTTTTATTAACGTCTTATTTGTAAGTTGATCTAATTGTCAACTCAATATTAATATAATTTATATATTTATAAGTAATGTAATGATAATTTTTTATGACATTTTCAGATTTAACTCCTGGAACAGGAATTAGTTGTTTTATTCATACTTTGCAATTGGTTATACGTGATGCGCTTTTCCTTCAAAGAAATATTGCAGATGTTATTGCAATAAGTCGAAGAATTGTTACACATTTCAGTCATTCATCTCATGCTTGTTCAAAATTAAAAGCAATACAAGAGCAACTAAATATTCCAAATCACAAACTCATACAAGACGTTACAACACGATGGAATTCAACTTATTATATGCTCTCTCGACTTTATGAACAGAGACAAGCTATATCGACTTATGCAGTTGATAATGAAATTTCTACGTTAACTTCCACTCACTGGTCTCTGATTGGAAACATTGTATATGTTTTGAAACCTTTTGAAGAAATGACGAAATTAACTAGTGCCGACAAAGAATGTATAAGTTACGTGATACCAGCAGTAACTATCTTACTGACGTATCTTTCGAAGAGAAATCAAGAGAATAGTGGTGTTGTAATGTTAAAACAAGAGCTTAAAAAATCAATAGAAAAAAGATTTTTAAACAAAGATGGTAAAGGACTGGATATTCAAAATAATAAATTTTATGCAATAGCCACCATTTTGGATCCGAGATTCAAAACTCGTTTTACAAAGAATGAAATGGAAATAAAAGATTTAATAATTGAAGAACTTTTGTCAATAGCTCATACGCCTGAAGAAGAAAAAAAGAAGAAATCTCACATTGATAAACCTTCAAACTCGTTGCCCTCGTTCTCGTTGGATGATATTCACAATGATATATGGAAATGTTTCGATGAAATCATAAATTCTTCGAAGTCGGATACCGAAAGTCCAAATGCGACTAATGCGAGTATTACCGAAGAAATAGCTGATGGACAAGTTAAATTTCAAAGAAAACTTAGTGACAGATCTAAGAAAAAAAGGCAAATATATCAAACTGAACTTGAGAAATATTTAGTATTACCGCTAACAAAAAGGACAGACAATCCCATATCGTGGTGGAAAAAACATCATTCTGAATTTCCAAATTTAAAAAATCTTGTTTTGAAATATTTAAGTGCTCCACCTTCTTCAGTAAATTCAGAAAGACTAGTTAGTTCCGCAGTGAACATTTACACAGACAATCGAAATAATTACATCCAGACAATGCAGAAA